ACGACCCATTGCTTGGGCATCATACCGTGCACCGCCCTACGTTGCCATCGTTGCTGCCGCCTTGGGAGCCATGCCTCCCATTGACCGATTGACACCATGATGTAATGATGACATCATCACTTTCTCTCTCCTTACGGATTTGTGACATTAGTCGTAAATCTGACGATTCTCTTCTTTTATAAATAAGACCTCCTCTCCTACTCTTCCTCACTCATTTTCACCCTTGAAGACTAATTCTAGAAAGAGAGATAATTAGAGAGAGAAATGAAGAAATTTTGAAGAGAATGGAAAACTAGTTTACAAAGAGTTGTCGGTGTCACTAAAAAATTTTAGTATTTTTTTACACATTTTAATATATTTTTTTAGAAAAATAAAGAAACGAGCATTGATTTATTTGCATGATTGTAGCATGATCTTTAAAAAAAAAATTGATTTTATAACATGATTTTGAGGGTATGATAAGTTGTTAATTATGACGATTGTTTAATTATATTTGCATCGTGTAAAGACTAATTTGTTATTTCTTGAACGAAGTTAAACTACAATTGATACAAGAAAATATTATATTAAATTATTGACATTGTAGCGCCCGGACCGAGAAGAAAAAAAAAAACAAAAAGAGAGAAAAGCCACGTCGGCAGCCACGTCAGCAGGCCCAGTCAGCAGTCTCGGCCAACCGGGGCCTGCCACGTGGCAAGACCACGTCGCTCCGGAACGGGCCACGTTGGCGATCCGCGTGGGCGCGATCGGACGGTCCAGATCAATCGCGCGATCGGACGGCCCAGATACAATCGCACGGACGGCCCATATTCAATAAAAAACGAACGGCCCAGATTAAAACAAAATGGACGGCTGAGATCAAAAGGCTAGGGGTTATAAATAGAACCCCCACACCAGACCACAAACCCTAGCCGCCTGCCGCTCGCCGGAGAAGACGAACCAGAGGCCGACCGCCGCCACCCGCCGCCGCACCGGGGAAATTTCCAACCGCCGATCGAGGTAAATTTCATACTCCCGACTCGTTTTTCCACGCTGATTCCTCCTGTGGCCAAATCGAAGCCAAAATCCTGGCCAAACGGCCGGAATACGCGGCCGAAGACCAGCGGCGCCGCCGCGCCCCCTCTCGGTTTTTGCCTCCGACGAGGCCCTTCCCGGCCTCTGTTTGATGCAATTTTTATATCACCGTGATCACCATTCTTTTCTCTACAGGTTGACCGGAGCCGAATCACCAAACCACGAACCTCGCCGGAGAGCCGCCGCCGGTAAGCTCCGCTTCTCCGTGATTTTTTGGCCCCCCGAGGGCCCTAGGGTTGTTTTCTCGCAGGGACCGATGCGAGTGTGGCCGAAAACGGCCGAAAACAGCCAACCCGAGGCGAATCGCCGACGCAAGCGATGGCGCCGTCGCCGGAGCACGGCGGAGCCGCCGTGCCGGAGTTGCGATATTGGCCAAAAAGGGACCCTGAGCCTAATTTGAGATTTTTTGGAACACGTGCAGGTACCGTTAGTGTGTTTCAGTTCCCCGGGAAAAATTCAGGGAAAATTAGGGACGGCCTGTAGGCGCACTGTGAATCGTGTTCGGATCCCGAAAACAAGTAAGGACCCCTCACCCTATTTCCTATCACGGTATTAAAGTTCAAAATGATAAAACGGTATTTCTTGAATTAACGCATGTGTGAAATTGTTTAAGGTTGCTAATGGAGCTCGAGTCTAGTGTGATTGATGATTTACTGTTATTTGGTCTGTTTTACAGCTTTAAATGCATTATGAGGTTTGATTTGTTCATTTTATAGTTTCGAGTGCATATATTACTATTTTATTAATTATGGGTTGAATGACTGAAGAACTGATACTGTATGTTGTCTGTTTGGCATGAATTACGATTTGCTTGTTTAAATATGAATTGATGATGCTTATTGAGGAAAAGGAAAATGAAAGATTGTGTAGACTGATAATTGTATGATGGAGTCAGCCTGACGAGATATCCTGGGAGATGGTGGACGGACCGGGTCCGTAGGGAACCCTACTGGGATTGTGGTCTCACATGCCGGACGGGGTATGGAGATCTTATGGTTTTGGCGCCCATACCGGACGGGGTATGGGGACGGCCCGTTTCACCCTCATACCGGACGGGGTATTGAGGTTTATGGTTTTGGCGCCCATACCGGACGGGGTATGGGGACGGCCCGTTTCACCTTCATACCGGACGGGGTATTGAGGTTTATGGTTTTGGCACCCATATCAGACGGGGTATGGGGACGGCCCTGGAAACTGATTATGAATGTTAAAGGTTAACGGGTAGCGGGACCCCTATGGACCCCCATGGATACTAGTAGGCTAGTAAATGAGAAAAGGATATGTGGTATAATGATTGAGTTACAAAATGCGTGATAAGTGCTATGTTTTACAGCTTATATTATTCCATGATTGTGATAATGTTATTGTTTTCTTATATTGTTTCATGAATTCCACCGAGGTAAGTGGATGGTAAAGGTTTTATCATAAATAAAAGGATTTGTTGTAAATCATGCTCCATTGGTCTTTTGTGTTTTACTACTCACCTTTACCTCCGTGACGGTGAGATATCGTGATGTTCTTACTGGGCTAGTGTAGCTCACTCCTTATTTAACCATTTCAGATCAGGAAAACATGGTTCCCGAGCCCGTTCCGCAGGAGGACGACGAAGGGGATGCCTAGAGACTCTGTAGTCATACTCATAGTTTTATTTTCGAGTTTCTCTTTTAGTTAGTTTAATCTTTTATATTTTAAGTACGTTTTTGGTTTTCGTGTAAGAGATGTTAACTGAAATTTTGATCTCGCTTCCGCATTTTATGTGTTTAAATACTCATTTCATTTTTTCACATTTCCGGGGTCGTTATAGACATGACATGAAAAATATGAATGGATATATGAAACATGAATTAACTCGTTAGGCTATTTTATCTACTTCTGTTGTCATCACCCTGTTTCAAAAGACATGAGATGACCATTTTCTGTGGATGACGACACGAAAGTGCATATAATATCTTATGACCACTATGATGAAGTACGGTCGTGGTCATAGTTTTTAGGACTACAATAGTTGGTACGGTCGTGATCATAGATCGTACTGTGGTGTGGCGAGCTACAAATCAACTGTGATGTGACGAATCGCAACTCAAGTATAGTGTAGTGAGCCACAAATTTGTTGTGGTTGAACAAGCCGTAAATTATCGTTAGTATCACTACAGTGGTAGTTGAAAATTCGTATTAGCCAGTAAATAAAAATTCGTAATGGGTTTTGTGCGAAATATGGTAAAAAGACTTAATAACAGTTACTATTTTATTTATTTGATCTTCTCATTTGATGAATTATATTTATGTTATTTGATGATCATGATATTAAATGTTTTTCTTATATTAATGGATCGTTGAAAAATGGTAAGCAAAAAAATATATTTTCTTAAACGTTTTTAATTATATAAAATTTTGTAGTGATGTAAATTTAATACTGTATGTCTTACTGAGTTTCATACAACTCACCCTTTATATGCTGAGCCCTCTTAGATGACATCGAAGAGGATGTTTGCGATGAGTTGTTCGAGTTACCCCTTGAAGTTTGCCTGAATTCGTGGATCTATGATTGTTGACGAGTGAAAGTTTTATTCCTCACTTTGATGAGTTTATTTATATAATAATAAAAGTGACAATTTTTTGTATTTTGTTATTTTATATTTTATCATCACTTCTGGTATCAATTGTATATGTAATTGAGAACTCATATATTTTGTAAAAAAATTTATTTTATAAAATAAAAATAAAAATTTTCACTACATATATTTTATTTAAATGCATTTATATTCTATATTGATATCTGATACTCTTGTGCTATAACTAATATTGAGGATGTTACACTTAAACAGTACTTATAAATTTTTTATGTTTGATTCAAAATTTACATAAATTATTAAATTAATTTTCAAAATTTGATAGTTAGACTTGGGCTTAAAGTATGTTTGTTATCATAATCTCTTTGGGTTAAATAAAATATAAATAAATATGTTATATGTATTAAGCTTTAACTTTCAGTTAGTATAAAATTTAAAGTATAAAAAAAAATAAAATAAAAAATTATAATTTATTTATTTATAATTTTTATAATTATATAAAAAATCACGAATCAAAATAATTTTATAAATTTAAAATGAAACAGCAAAAAATCAAATTTTAATTATAAGATAAATTATTAATTTACTCTATAATAATGAATTACCCTATAATTTAATATTAAAATATTTTTATATTACAATTTAATTTAAACTTATAAAATTTTGCTGAAATTTCTGACGTACATAACAAATTTTTTTTATGTATTATTTGAGTAACCAAAAAACAGAATCTTTTATATATAATCAAAATTTTAAAAATAAAAAAAAAAATAGTTTTTGTGGATCTCTAATTGCGATTAACGTTTGTTACTGCCATCAATCTTTTTTAAATCAAGTGAAGCAAACGAATCCTTTACTCGAATCTCCAGCGGTTGCTTTCACACGTCCGAACACGTGGACGGTCACGATGCAGCGGCCCAAGTGGGTCACTCATGTCACAATGATCACATAAATTACTATTTTGTTTTATTCATTTATTTAATATTGAAAATCCAAAATGTGGCGGCGATGACCTTTTAACTCGTGTCTGCCAAAGCCTCGCATTTCTTCGCGGCTTCTCTTCGCCGTACACACCGCTCGACGTGGCGTCATCCCATCTATCTAACTCACGCTCCCCTGATACGCGTTGCGTTTTTTTCAGAAAAGTAAACATTTTTTATTTTTTAAAATATAAATTTTTATAAATATTAAAATAAGATTTTAATATCCATAATTATGCGATAATCTCAGAGCTATTGCACGTAGATCCTCACGCGGGGCGACTTCCAACAGCCATCGTTGGAGGAATTTCACGCGCCATGTTGTGCGGTGTGTTACGGGGACGTAGAGAGAGAGGGATGTGACGAAGGTGTCTTCCTCGTGGACAAGACATAAACGTAATCTGGTGATTGCACCGAAAAAATGATGGTCAGTATGTGGTGTCCTAAGGACGCGTCAACCGCAAGAATTGGACACGTGTCGTCATTCTCGTGGTTTGTCTTCACTCTCTTCCTAACTGTCGGTTAAACGGAGCGATTCAATGGCTTTTCCTTTTAGAGACGGTCTTCACTCCAACCCCGCTCTTTCCCTTTTATTATTATTATTTTTTGGTTTTGTTTTGTTTTGCAAACCCCACTTTGCAGTGAAATCGTTTGAACTACACGCAATTGCTTCTTTTATTATATTATTATTTTAATTTTTAGTTCTGCATTTGATTTTTTTATTATATTTTTGTTTTTAATGTAAATTAAGTAATCTTTCCAAACGGCTGTTTTATTTACTAAAATTAAGATTTAATTGAAGGCATTTTGGCTTTTGTTTTTTCTTTTTTTTTTTTCAAAACAAATAAAGTACATTTATAAAAGAGAGTGGGAGCCACGCACTGGGAAGGATCCGTGAAGAGGAGAAATGCGCAAAAGTCCAGCCGTAATAACGGGACCTTAAACAAAAGCCGGCACACGCACTCTCCCTCGCCGCTTGTCTCGAAATTCCCGCGTGCCACGTAACCCCGGACAACGTTATCATTTTGTCTCCCCTTCCTCCTTCTCTCTCGTTCTCTCTCCTCTGCTTGGGCGGCGCTCCAGTCAAATCCTTCCTTGACCCCATCCCTCTCCCTCAACTCCTCTATTTATACAACCCATCACACCCCACATCCGCCTCCATCGTCCTTCTCTCTTTTAAACACGCGCTCACTTTGTGTAATACGGAACCAGGAAAGCCGAAATGGCTCCTAAGCAATTGGCTGGTAAAGGAAATGGTGATTGTGGTAACAACAACAAGGAGGTTCATTACAGGGGTGTGAGGAAGAGGCCTTGGGGCCGATACGCCGCCGAAATCCGAGATCCCGGCAAGAAAACCAGAGTCTGGCTCGGTACTTTCGACACCGCGGAGGAAGCTGCCCGCGCATACGACACCGCCGCTCGAGAATTCCGTGGGCCCAAGGCTAAGACAAATTTCCCATCGCCAAGCGAGCGGAGCGGCGGTGGCAGCGCCACTCCGACCAACATTAACCAGAGCCCAAGCGAGAGTAGCACCGTGGAATCATCCAGCCCGGCTGAGGAGCGTGAGCCGACACGCCTACAGGGCGGTCGGGTTGGGTTCGTGGGTGGGATGCCGTTTGTGTACCCGCAGCAGAATGTTAGAGGGGGCCAGGCGCGGCCGCTGTTGTTGTTTGGAACGTTGGGGAGAGGGGAGATGATGGGTCGGGTATACCCGGTGGAGTTAGATCCGGTTGGGATGGGATTGGGTGTTGGGTTTGGAGCCGGGTTGGCGAATGAATCAGAGTCTTCATCGGTTGTGGATTGCAAGCCAAGAAAACCTATTCGTCTTGACCTGGATCTAAATCTTCCTCCACCTGTGGATGTTTAAAACCCTTTCTTTAGGCCAAAAAAGAAATAGAACCCTTAATCAAGTTACTAACCCTTTTTTTTTTTTTTTTGAATTTATTTTTCCAACTTAGGTCTCTTTGTACTGTATTCAGCCTTTTTAAGTAGTGATGCAAACTGAGGGAAGAAAATGAAAAGAGGACAAGAAATTTAAACGTATTGTATATAATTATGTGTAAGGACGATTTTTGTTTTCGGGGCAATCATATCATAGTTGATAATCTTTCTTTTGCCATGAATTTAATCTGCTTTTCTGAACAATTAGACTCGAAGGAATACATGATTGATTATCTTTAAGTTTTAATTGGATTCACAAGCAAACTATCCGGTTAGCGGGTTACGTTTTGTTTTTTTTGAAAGTCCAGCATTTCCTGCAACGGCAGCGTTTAATCATTTTTAATTAAAATAGAGGAATTAATAAATATAGGAACTGAGAGTGGATGGGAGTAAACGATTGATGAGTGAGCGACGGCAACCGAGTGGAGGTAGGGAAGGGCCCACCGCAGTTTCCGTGTTGACGGGCGGTTTGTCACGTGGATGTCCGCCGTCCTATATAATTATATTATTATTAAATTTTCATAAATCTATTTTTTTAGCAGTATAAAATATTTATTTATTAAAAGCAAATATTAATGGCACCATATCAGTGGTGGTAGGTGCTTAATTAAATATTCAGGCAACTGTCATTACTCTAAATAATAAATTAATCAAAAGTATTTTGTATTTTTATAAATATAATTAATTAATAAACAATTCCATCTGTATTACGAAAAAATAAAATTTAAAATATAGAGAACGACGACGTGTGGCGTATGAAAGTAAGAAAAGGTGGGGGGGAGAGGGGATGGGGTCCACATGGATTGGGAAAACATTTACTGCTTCCACGTCTCGTTACTTTCATGCATATATTCTATACTTCTGAATCTTGCAGACTATGTGAAGATTGAAAATCTAATTTTTTATCATATGAAAAAATAAATATATTTTATGTTATATTTTTTAAAAATTAATCCGTTACCTTAATTTTTTAGATTAAAAAATGAAAATATTTACTTTGTTTTCTTAATATATATTTAAATTCGGAAAAGTGACATTGAATATTTTTTTTTGTATCAGCCGCGTGTTTAAATATGATTTTTTATTTTTATTATTTGAATTATGACGTCAATGATTTTGGCTGTCTAACTCAACATGCACCAGAGTATCAAGGCTTTATTTTATATTTTCCCTCAGAAAAAACCAGACGGCGGCTAAGAGATGGAGAACGGATCAAAACCACTGGTTTTCAAGCCCAACGACGCCGTTGATGCTGCCGCTAGTGTCAATGTCAGAGGAATCCTCTACAAGCTACTAGATAACATCAACAAAGACGATGACAGACCCACCATTCCTCTCGGTCATGGCGATCCATCTCCATTTCCATCTTTTCGCACCAGTACTTCAGCTGAAGACGCCGTTATCGATGCTGTTCGTTCAGGTCACTTCAATTCTTATGCTCCTACCGTTGGTCTTCTTCCCGCTAGGAGGTAATCGTTATCTCAAAATCTTTTCTCGTCACTTTCCTTGGTAACTTGATTTTTGTTCTATGAAACAAATGTTTGTTTCCCCTTTTGATTATATCCTCTGTTCTTGATTAGTTCTCTATGCGAGATAATCAACGGCGTAAATAGTTTATCTGGTTAGTACTTTGTAGCTTATCCATGTATGTATAGGCGAAGATTTGGGTTGATATAACAGCACTTCCTTGGCTGACTCGTGGTCGCTGGGATTGATATTGTTGCATTTCATTTGGGTATTAATGGAGGAGTTCTATTAACAAAATGGAATCTTTTGGTTGGTGTTTGTTGACAATATTTCACCACCTCTAATTCTATATTGGGTATTTATTCAAATCAAGAGGTGGGTGAGAGGTTTTACTCGGTGTTTGGTAATTTACACCTACTGGCTTCAACGATTCTCCATTCCCAAAAGCTAATCCACATGCATTCCTGTTTTTCCACAAATGATTTTTCTTTATGGAACAGAGCATTGTGTGCTGCATCCTGGATGTTACACAGGTCTAAATGGCACTTGGGTGAGTGAACTCTGGATTGTCTGTAAAAACCTGAATCAAAGGAAAAGAAAATTCTGCTAACAAAGAGAGAACCAAAATGATTTTTTCCTTATTTCATTTGTTTGTTTTTCTAAATAAATAGTAAACGTGAATTATGCTAATATCGTGTAAAATGGGCATGTCTTCTATGGTTTATATTCTGATCTTTTTGTTTTAAAAAATTTAAATGATTTTCATCTTAGTGTTTCTAGTAACGCTAAGAGTCAATAGCAATGAGCTTATTCATGAGCAAAATGTTGATATACTGATTTTAGTTCCAATTTTCTCAACAGGGCTATTGCTGACTATCTTTCTAGTGATCTATCATACCAATTATCACCAGATGATGTCTATCTCACAGTTGGTTGCACACAATCAATAGAAATCATGATAACAGTTCTTGCTCGTCCTGGAGCAAATATTTTGCTTCCTAAGCCTGGATACCCAATGTATGAAGCCCGTGCAGCTTTTAGTAACCTTGAGGTTCGCCATTTTGATCTTCTACCTGAAAAAGGTTGGGAAGTTGATCTTGATTCTGTTGAAGCTCTTTCAGATGATAACACAGTCGCTATGGTTATTGTTAGCCCAGGAAATCCTTGCGGAAACATCTTCACGCACCAACATTTGAAAAAGGTGGCCTAATTTAAATTCCGGAATGTGCTAGTACATGCATATTATTGAATATTTACTTGGGACAATTAGAGCTTTGGTTCATATAAGCATGCAGCATGATTCATCATTAATTTGACTTCAATAGACTTTGTCTTCACAAACAAAGAAATGAGGAGAGGGTTAAACTCCTTTCTAGAAGTTAATCATCACATTACTTCGATATTATGCACCTATTTGTTATGCTTTGGAATTTCAGATTGCAGAGACAGCAAGAAAGCTCAGAATATTTGTGATTTCTGATGAAGTCTATGGCCATCTTGCTTTCGGAAGCAATCCATTCGTACCTATGGGAGAATTTGGATCTATTGTGCCTGTTGTCACATTAGGGTCTATATCTAAGAGATGGATTGTCCCTGGATGGAGACTTGGTTGGATAGTCACTAATGATCCTAATAACATACTTAAAGAATCTGGGGTTGGTATTTTTAGTCTGTTATTCATTTTTTTCATGCCAACTATGTATGAGTATGTTGATTTGCATTCTTTCATTTTCCTTATTGTCTTCTTTTTTTTGGGGGGAATCCTTGTATTCTTCAATGGAGTAAACTGCATATTCTTATTTTCTTCTGAATAGATTGTACAGAACATTAAGAGCTATCTCAACATCACGTCTGACGCTGCAACCTTCATGCAGGTATGTAATTGAAGATTTCTTTGATGTGAATGCTATATCTCGGAAATTTTACAGCTTCTCTGTTTTTATAATTGGTATAATAATCTTTACTTTTTATAAAAAAATTAACGAAAGAGTATTTGAGTTCAAATTTTATTGCAACCACTTGCAGTACAAAATCTTTACGTGAATTTCCAGAATACACTTTAACCTAATTATATACTCTCTTCAGTAGAATCCTCCACCAAAAGTCAGTGCTTTATTGAAAATTCTTAGTTATTACTATTTTGGTGTTCCTTGTGATGTTGGACTGTGTTGGTCCCAGTCAGAGGCACAAATACAGTAAGTAAATTTCTACTTTTGGCGAGAAACGACCAATGAACAAAGCTGTAATTTTTTCTATCCCTTCATTGATGATGTAACACCCACAATTTTTTTTTTGGTGATTAAAAATTAATAAATATAAATTTTTATTATTTTATTTTGTGTTATTGTATTTTGGTTTTATTTAATTTAGAGTAAAAAAATGAAATAAAATGTAAAGAGAATTTAATTGAAAATAATTTTGTGAAAATTTGGGTTCTGAGGATATTTTTGAAAGAAAAATCGGAAAATAGGGGCCAAAATGCAATTTTGGAAAATTTCGCCACGTTAGACGCCGAGTCAGCAGTCCTGACCAATCAGGACGCGCCAAGTGGCAAGGCGCTGACGCGGGAGGCCATGCGGGGGGCTACATGGGCGATCCACGTGCGCACGATCGAACGGCTGAGATCTATTCTCGCGCGCACGGATGGTCTGGATGCACTCCCTCCCAAATGCAATCAAACAACCAGATTTAAACGCAATCGGACAGCCCATATTAGATCGCGATGAACGGGGCAGATTCACTCTCTATTTAATCGCGATCGAACGGTTCATATCAAACGCGATAGACAGCCTAGATCAAAAGCAGATAGATATAAATAACCCCCATCTGCACCAAACCCTAACCCTAGCCACCGGAGAGCCGACCGCCGCCACTCACTGCTACACCGAAACCCTTTTCGACTGCCAAAAAAGGTAAAAACTTTTTCTTTTGCACGAAATTCAATTTTAAACTCACTTATGGCCAAATCGGAGTAAAAAGACCGGCCAATTGGCCAGAAAACACTGGCGAAGCCCGGCGCCGCCGCTGCGGAAAATTTCATAAACCGCCTCCGATGAGGCCCTTCTCGATTCTCGTTTTGCGTAATTTTTTCACCATTGTGATCACCATTTTCTTCTCTATAGGTTGACCGAAACGAAACACCCAACTACAACGTGAGCCGGAGGAGCCGCCGCATCGGAGAGCCCTGCCATCGGTGAGTTTTAGTTTTTTGTATTTTTTTTGCCAACCGAGACCCTTTAATGTGTTTGCTCGCAGGAATCGATGCAAAATCGGCTGAATTCGGCCGAAAACGGCCGACCCAAGGTAGACCACCGTCGCCGGAGCACGTTGGAGCCGTCGTGCCGGATTTTCAAAATTGGTTGAGTGGGCCCTGGGACTGATTTTGGGTTTATTTGGAACATTTGTAGGTACTATAAGCGCATTTCAGTTCCCGGAGAAAAAAATTCAGGGAACCCAGGGACTGCCCGTAGGCGCAGTAAACCGTTTAACTCTTTGGCGTTAAATCGAGTAAGGATCCCTCACCCTATTCCCTATCATAAAATTGAAGTCTAAATCAATAATAATATGATATTTGTGCAAATTAAATAAATGTGCATAATTAATTACGGATTGCTAATGGAGCTCGAATCGGAAATTGTTCTCTGTTAATTTCTGTTGATTTATTTTACAGTATAAAAGCATGATGGTTATCTGGTTTATCAATTTTATGGTTTGAAGGCATGAATTGCTGTCTTACGTGACCACTGTTTGATTGGAAAATTGAAATATGATTGCATCCCCTGATGCATGTTTGTTTGCTTATGTGATCATGGTTGATTTGGAAAATAGAGACTAAAAAAAAATGAAAAAGTTGCGTGATTAAATAAACAGATGGAACGACAGCCTTACCAGATATCTTAGGAGATGGTGGACGGATCGGGTACATAGAGAATCCTACCGTGAACGTTGTCTCATACCGGACGGGGTATGGAGACTGAATAATTTGGCGCTCATATCGAACGGGGTATGGGGACGGGCCTGTAATTGAAATTGTTAAAAGAAATGATTCACGTGTAACGGGGACATCTCTATGAACCTCCATGGATACTAGTAGGTGGTGAAAAGAGAAACAGTTATGGTTTGGTTTATTGTTAATGGATATCGATTTATAATACGTTTTATGTTGCTGATGGTTCATGAAATTATAATCTGTATGATATTATTGTTTTTTATAGGTTGTTTTCGTAAATTTCACTATGATAAGTGAACGAGAAATGATTTTATGATTGATAAATGAATTTACTAAATTTAATGCTACATTAGTAGTTTTCAATTTTATACCAACTTTTACTTCTGTACCGGTGATATAGTGTGATATCTTTACTGGAGTAGTGTAGCTCATCCTTTATTTAACTATTTCAGATCAAGAGGAATATGTTCCAAAGCCCGATCCGCAAGAATATTGCGAGTAGATGCTAGATATTTCCTATTTTCCATTTGTTTCCTTATTTCTCGTATTTCTTTCAAAAAATTAATTCCGTAATGCTGTTTAGTACTTTTAAATTATTATGTAAGGAATGTAAATCTTAACCTTTTATTCGGCTTCCGCATTTAAATTATTATATATTTCCTTTTGGATTTCAAAAGTCGTTACAGATGATTTCCGGTGTTTAAATAGAGAAAGTTACAACTGCTTTTCCTACATTTATGCTACTAGATAATTATCACTAAACAAAAATTACAATAAAAACAGAGGAGATACTGGTCTTAGTGGAAGAGCAGATCATGGAGTTGTGAAGAGCAGATCGTGGAGTTGTGTGCTTTGGGGGAGAGAGAGTTTCTTTGTTGCCCGCTTCTTTTGCTAGTAGTTGGTGGTTACTGCAAATATTTGGGATTCCTTACGGGAATCCTGCTAGATCTTCGGCTTGAAGTTGAGGGTTTATCATTACTCCCCTCCTGAAAATGAACCTTGTCCTCAAGTTGATGTTGAGAATGGTCTTGTCATTCGGTAGTGTTTTCCAAGTGGCATCCGCGATGGGAAGGTGCTTCCATTTGACTAGACTTTCTTCCACTATTTGCTTGCCCTTTTTGAGCCAGCGGTTATCCAGAATTGCTTCGGGTTGCAGGATGATGGTTCCTTCTTCGGTTGTTGCTAGCAAGTCTTCGGTGGTGAGAGTTTTGTCTTCGACTTGTTTCTTGAGAAGGGAGACATGGAATACCGGGTGAATGAGCGAGGATGGTGGTAGCTTGAGGGGGTATGCTACTGGACCGACTCGAGCTTCAATCTGAAATGGACCAAAGAAACGGTAAGCCAATTTTTTGATAGCTCTCTTGAACAGGGTCTGTTGACAGTAAGGTTGAAGGCGCAAAAAACCCAATCACCAACCTGAAACTCCACATGGCGGTGCCGGTTGTCGGCTGATTGCTTCATATAGTTTTGAGCAGCATGCACGTTAGCCTTGAGCTTGGTAAGTAGTTCATCCTGAGCAGTTAACTGTTGATCAACCTCATTCACTGCTGTCATTCCTTCCACGTAGTGCGGAATGGTGGGTGGTAGTCGCCCATACAGAGCCTGGAAAGGAGTCATACCAATGGATGAGTGGTAGGTAGTATTATACTAATATTCTGCCCACGGTTGGAAGGAGTACCATTTATTCGGTCGTTGATGCGCGAGATATAGGATGTATTGTTCGAAACGTCGGTTAATTACCTCTGATTGACCATCGGTATGAGGGTGGTAGGAGGAGCTCATCTTCAATTCTGTCCTTGAGAGTTTAAAGAATTTTTTCCAGAAATGACTAATGAAGATAGGGTCCCGGTCACTTACAATGGAACAGGGCAACTGCATTTCCTACATCTATGCTACTGGATAATTATCACTAAACAGAAATTATAATAAAAACAGAGGAGATACTGGTCTTAGTGGAAGAGCAGATCGTGGAGTTGTGTGCTTTGGGGGAGAGAGAATTTCTTTGTTGCCCGCTTCTTTTGCTAGTAGTTGGTGGTTACAGCAGATACCCTCAACTTCGGCTTGAAGTTGAGGGTTTAATCAGACTAGCTTAACCTCTAGTATCATATGCACTTCAAACATTTCCAGAAGCACAACAGGAGAATGTAGAATTCAACAAATTTAGTTGTCGTGAAAGTTTTGATTAATTTGACTGGAGTGCAAAGTGAACTATCCTGATTTTATGGCTTATTAACTTCTCCCTAATTCAAACCTTTGTCAATTGACATACCAAACGTACATAGGTTACGATCATATTTGTCATTTTCTATATATTGTTGGATATTTACTGATTGTGCAGGGTCACATAACATGATTTCCTTGCAGCTGCTAGTAAAATTAAATATCCATCATTGTCCTATGCAGTAACATATAAATTATGTTTCCATTTGTATGTTTTCATTATCATTCATTCTATTATCTCTTGGATGATTAATTTAGAGATAACGATGTTGCTTATACATCAGGGGGCCGTCCCTCAAATCCTTGAGAAAACGAAAGGAGAATTTTTTTCAAAAATTATTGACGTAATAAGAGAAGCTGCAGACATATGTTTTGAGAGGATTAAGGAGATCCCTTGCATTAGTTGTCCTCGTAAACCTGATGGATCTATGTTTGTAATGGTAAGACATACAACTTATGTTTTGCATGACACTTCAATGTAATCAAGCATATGTATGTCTGACAACTTTCTTGCAGGTGAAGTTAGACGTGTCTGTACTTGAAGATATTAGAGATGATTGGGAGTTTACACTCAAGCTAGCTAAAGAGGAATCTGTTGTTATTCTACCAGGTAAAAACCAATAAAAAGAATCACATTTTCACATTTCCTTTGCTAGAAGCATAGGAACCTTTGCTACATAAGTATCACGGTTGTGGTGTATTCATGATTATTTTCCAAAACTGGTTGTTAATATGTAAGTATGGAACTGAGCTATCCACTATGTATAGTGAGAAAAAACAAGCATTTTAACTGAATGCCTATCCTGTCCTTTGTCTTGCTCAGGCAAATGATCGGTTGATGTGCTTATACAGAATATGGAACAAGTATGATATATTTATTCACCAATGTCAAGTGTAATTGGTGCAGGGTTTGCTCTTGGGATGAAAAATTGGCTGAGGATAACTTTTGCAGTTGAGCCGGAGTCTCTGGAAGAAGGGTTTGGGAGGATAAAGGCCTTTTGCCAAAGGCATGCCAAGAAATAGCAGCAGTTTGGGTGGATGATGATTGAATGTCCAACCCTCGGAGACCTAGACTCCCAGTCTTACTGGAGAAACGTTGTGATTGTTTAATGTGTCATAAATCTTGTGATATCTGCGATAAAATCAGCATTTTAACTTAATGACCCTCATATTTCTTTTTTTTTTTTTTTTTTTTTTCTAGCATT